GTTCCCAATCGATTCAAATTTCTTTGACTCGTCATGCTCGGTATATTAATTGTCTACGACTCAGCTTCCCGCCTCCAATCGAATGAATCTTTCTAGTTTCGCCCAGTCCAAAGATAGTCAGGGACTCTCAGGGTAGCCCGAAACGTAAGCCTAGCGCGACCCTTAACCAATCAGGAAACGGTTTTACCAGATTTTAGTCACTTCACGAACAAGTTTTCCGAATTCCGTAATCAACATATGGGGTTCACCCCTACATTTAAGGTACTTTTTACACTATGTAGTTCTCCACTACGGTGGTGCGTCGTCTTTTGGAGCTTAGAGTCCATCTGATCTTTCAGTTCTCATTTATACAGTTGTTGACTTTCTAGAAATATCTTAGTTCTGCTTGCCGTTTTATGATGCTATGAAGATACTCATCGAATAGACGCCAATCTGGACATCCCCGCGGACGAGAACAAGACTGACGAAGATACAGATATAACGATACCTAAAAAAGAGACAGGGTCAGCCCGCTGCAGAAAAAGAAAGAAGGAAGTGAAGCAAACAACCAGCAAATCCGCAGAATGAGAAGACCGATTTGCCCTGTCACGATATTTAATTGGGCGGCTGGGCCCCCGGTTGCCACAGGGGTGGGAGATGGACTGGGCCCACCTGCCTGCCTGTGCCCTGCAGGTGTGGTGAGAGTCAGAGCCCCAGGCCTGCACCAGGCCTTACACTCTTTTTCTCTTCCAGATCCTTCTAGGGCCTAACACAGGGCTCTCCGGGGCCATGCCAGGGGCTCTACCCTCACTGCCTGGAAAGATCTAGATCGTCACTGCTGTCTGAGCTGTCTGGATGGGAGGCGTTTGCAATTCCAGTGTTTGAACTGCTGGGTTTTTATTTTTTCAACTCTGGCACATTGCTCTAAGCCTGGTGGAGAGAATCCCCCTCGGGGTCTCCTGAGACTCCCACCGTGCAGCGTGCTCAGCTGTGCTCTGTCCTCACTGACAGCGCCGCCCACCCCGCCCCTCACTAAGCCGCTCCCAGCTGGAGGCTGCCCTGGCCACCGCGGGCTGGACGGACCCCGGGCACTGGTGACTCTTGCTGTTGGTAGAGAACGGAGATGCCAGGGAGGGCCGTGTCCGCAGCGTGCGGCTGACGACGCGTTCCAGCTGCGAAGCGGCCGCCGTGAACCCCGTGTGGGGAGAAGAGGGGCCTGCGGACAGAGCGGAGCTCAGCTCCTCCGCGCGTCCTGCCGTTAGATTTGTGTGTGTCAGGCAGTGCTCACTTTTTGTATTTAAATATTAAAAATGATTCCAGCCCAGAGTGTGCCTGTGCACCTGAGGAACTTGAACTGGGAGCGTTTCCGACGTCGGAGCTACGTGCCGTCCTGCACTCCCGCCTGAGCCAGCTCCTCTCACACGGGGCGACCTTGGAGATTTCGTTTTTGACCAAGCAGTCTTCTTATTTAACTTGAAAGGCAGTTAGATTGGGAGAGAGAGATCTACCCTCTGCTGGTTCACTCTCCAAATGGCTGAACGGCCCGGCGGAAGCCAGGACCCAGGAACTCCGTGTGAGTGTCCCATGTGGGTGGCAGGGGCCTTCCTGGCTGCACTAGCAGGAAGCAGAGCAGCTGAGACTTCAACGGGCACGCGCACACGGGTGCCAGGGTGGCAGCTGGCGGCCCCAAGCGCCTTCTTAATAGCAGTCTGCCCAGAATTCAGTCACTTCCTGGCTCACCAACATAAAAGATTTAGAACTAGGTACTTGTGGTCTACAATAACTTGACATGGCTAGGGCATAGTGGGTCAAGGTGCGGCCTGGGCACTGCTACACTACATGGGCACCAGTTTGGGTCCTGGCTGCTCTGCCTCTGATCCAGCTCCCTGCTCATGTGCCTGGGAAAGCACGGAGGATGGTCCAACTACTTGGGCCCTTGCACCCACGTGGGAGACCTAGATGAAGCTCCTGGCTTAGGATCTTCCCAACTCTGGCAACTGTGGGCATTTTGGGGGTAAACCAGTGAATGGAAGCTCTCTGCCTCTCCGCCTTTTAAATACATATTTAAAAAATATATTTGTGGGGAATACAGTGCTGATTTTCAGTTTGTTTATTTGAAAGACGGGGAGAGATTACATCTGCTAGTTCATGCCCCAGATGGCCACCACTGCTGGAACTGAGCTGAACCAAAGCCAGGAGCTTCTGGGTGTCCCATGTGGGTGCAAGGCCCAAGGACTTGGGTCATCCGCTGCTTCCTCAGGTGCGTTAGCAGGGAGCTGGGTCCGAAGTGGAGCGGCTGGGGCTTTAACCAGCACCCATGTGGGATGCCAGTGCTGCAGGCTGGGGCTTTAACCCGCTGTGCCACAGTGCTGGTCCCAATAGTGCCGATTTCTAACATTGGCTATGAGGGGGAGATTTGCACAGTTTTTTATGACCTGGTTTTTAGGCAGAACAAACTCCAGTGCTGCTGCACTCCACCAATGCCCGCCGCCTGACCAGGGTCCTAACCCAGGCCAGACACCCACTTTGCATTTTTTTAATGCTGAGACCAGGCACACCACCAATGAACACCATGGTGATACCCTTCCTAAGCCTTCAGTGGGTTGTTTACTGGGACACTGCACAATCTGCAAGGCAGTATGGTTCCAGATTTAGACAGCAGCTGGACGCCCACCTAGGTCGTCTGACGACCCTGCTGTGTGGTCTGGGTGTGCTGATGCAGGATCCCGTCTGGTACAAGCTGTGCTGGGCAGGCGGGGCCTTCAAACCGGCAGGCCCACCGTTTGTGAGCTCCGGGAGCTGCAGAGTGCCTCAGGGCGCTTCGCAGTGTTCAGATGAGTAGTGCCTGGATCTGCAGGTGAGGGCAGCGTGGTGTTGCTAGCCTCCTCAGAGGACGATTCCCCTGCAGTGGCATCATACTAAGGCTTTTTCTGAACAGTTCAGGCAGGTAAGAGTTATGTACAGAGTTTTCCATTTTTAATATTTGGTTAAACAAAATACATCTTCTGTAAACAAACCCAGCACAAGGCCAACAAAAAAGGGGAACAAAAGCAAAACCAGCCTAGGGGTGCCCCTCACTGGGCATCAGGGCCGGGCCTCCCTCCCCTGCAGGAAGTGGGCTTCCTGCCCTTGGGCGTCAGCCTGGGTCCCTGTTCCTAAGCACCAGAATCGGGCATGAGCAGAGAAACCGGCCCTAAAGTCAAAGCGTCTGCATGTCCCATCGGCGCGTGGACTCTGCATGCACGGGGCTCCCGGGAGGTGCTGTCTACACAGGCCCGGGCAGGGCGTGCAGAGGAGTTTCCTCTCCAGGAAATGGCTTACTATCGCCGCCGGCGCCAGTGGACCCCAGGGCCTGGGTGGGCTGGGGTTCTGGCTGCGGCGGCTGGAATGTTGTGCAGGGCAGGAGCTCCCTGGGTGCCAAGCAGGTCTGCTGGAGGATGGGACCGCAGCAGTGGCCGAGGGCACAATGCGACGGCTGCTTGTGGCTTGTCACTCGGCATCGGACACGGCCAGACGGCGCACGTGCAGAGAAAGTGCTGGTGTGGACATGCACTCGAGTTCGGGGGAGCCACGGCCTGAGCCCCACGCCGGCTGTGCCAGCGGCCGCTCTCGGGCCTCCTGAGACCGAGCTGCCTCTGGGCAACCACAGGCGCCCTGGGGGTCCACTTACT